GAACAAAGTAGCAACTTGCAGTCCATTGATGCAGAATGGCCGCTGACCCTCAAGCTCGCCTACTTGAGGGCAGCCCTTAAGTTGCCAAGTGTCTCCCTTGAATCAGATTCCAGGTGTGAGTGCCTCTCACTGTCGCCTCTCTCAAATCGCCGCATGAAGTCTCCTCGAAATGTCTCGCCACCCTAATCTCACTCTCAAGCAACCTGGTTAGGGTCTATGTTGACCCCATATGACCTAACCAGGTGGGGGCAGCTTCCCTTAACCACGCTGCCCCACTTCCCTCAACCATCCAACCGTAACCCTAAGTGTTGCCCTCAACCACTTAGGTTAGGGTTAGGGTAGCAAAGTCAACTCTCACCAGCAAGAAGAATCCGCTCTAATACCAATGTTATGACCCTGGCCAATTTCGAGATACACATCCACTGGAAAGTACAATGCCATCCAATTGCAGAAAGAAATGAATGAGCTTGAGAGGAGAGAGAGGAGTAGAAGAAGAAGAAGAAGAAGTAGGAAAGAAGAAGAAGAAGATGTACACCAGCAAAGACAATGATAAGGCTCTTCTTCTTCGCCCAACAATCTCCTCCTCCTTATCTCCCCCCTCTCTTATTCATACAAGAAATAATAATACAATGTTGAATGACAGGTCCAGAATCATGTCCGAGTCCCCTTTCTACTGCAGGTATCACTCAAGGTCCACCATAGCCATGAACGCCTCTCCCATTCTTCATACACATAGGCCGAGGCTATGGCGGACTACTAGGCCTTGCTCCGATGCCCAAAGGACAACACAAAGCAGCTATGGCTGCCTGGACTCAGGCCGCCATGTCCAACCCTGCCCTGAAGCTTCTTGGTGTGGCTTTCCCCGGCTGGGGACTCCTTGCTGCAGCGCCCACCAAGGTGATGAAGATGGCTGCCACCATAGGCAGGTAAGTACCCCTGGCACTCCTCCCCCTTCCTCCTTCCTTCCTCCTTCTTCCTACCTCTAGTCCTTCTTCTTCCTCCCCAGCAGCGCAGCCCCAACCCAGCGCTGCTCCCTCCAGCGCTCCACCAGTGTGTCGCCAAACTTGCACACCGAAAAAGAGGCCGGGTCTTCCGCCCGGCCGGAAGATATAGCGGCCTGCTTTGCCTCTTGGGCGGTGACTTCAAGGCCGCTGGCCTTCCCAAGCAACCGGTACCTCTTCCTCCTTTTGGAGGGAACATCATTGCAGACTCTGATATTGCCCCTACAGGCCCTAGACTCAGACTGGTACCCGCTAGACCTAGCCTACACTACCGGCCTCTAAAAATGCCACTTTTGTCTTCTTCTGCTCGGCCTCCGGTACCTGCATATTTACCCCCCTGCCGGGTGCGGTACCGGCCTACCCGCTACTTGAGTGCTTTTTCCCTGCTGCAACCCTTCGAAGCCACGGCCACAGGTAAGTATCGGCCCTGAGGGCCCAACGAATGAACAAGTGCCCTGGCGGGCCACACAAGCACACACTCATACCAACCAGCACTCAGACAGGCATGGTCACACACGCAAGCCAACCAGCACTCAGACAGACATGCAGTCCAGCAAGCACACACACACACAGACTTAGCAGGCGGGGAACTCAGTAGGGCATTCAGTCTATGAAATCAGTTGTGTGTTTCAGTCCGTGTTCGGACGGGTTATCACAAATCTCTCAAAATGGTGCAAGTTTTGAATGAAGAATGTTAATTTTTGTTAAAAGTTCTGGCCAAATTTCCAGACGAATGTTTATGTTATGAAATGTTTTGTTTATAGGGTAAAATTCGCAAGGGTTCTGTTTCTTTTATGCTGAACGACGGGGACGTCGTTTAATGAGGTCCGGGAAGGCTGTCGACGTGGAAACCCTGACAAGGGTATCTGAACGTCGGATAACCATGTTTATCAATGTCAGACAGTGACTGAGTTTTCCTAAGTGGTGATGACTTGATGAGGCTGAAGTCTGCTAAAGGTTCATTCAGACTGCCCTGTTACTTGTAGAACCTCAATAGGATTACCCTGTTACCTGAACATTGCTACCCTCACCCTTGTAGAAACTCAATAGGATTACCCTGTTACTTGAGCATTGATTCCCTCATTCCTGTAGAACCCCAATAGTATTACCCTGTTACTTGAGCATTGATTCCCTCATCCCTGTAGAACCTCAATAGTTTTACTCTGTCACTTGAGCATTGATTCCCTCATCCCTGTAGAACCTCAATAGGACTACCCTACTGCTTGCATTACTCCCCTTTTCCTTTTCTGCCTAGTGATCGGCCCCGTCACGTCCTTCACAGTTGTTCATTGGGTCTTTGGCAACCGGGACGTTGCCTTCCAGAGGGAGCGGATAGTGTTACGGACTCAGCCAGGGCTCGATCCCTGGTCCACGGGTTACCACCCGCCAGGCTGCTATTTCATTTTTGAGTCTCTGATCTCCGGTCCTTGACTGTTGGCGCCCTCTGCAGTTGGCGCCTGTTCTCAAATCCCTCCTCTGGCACTTTCGGATCTTGGTACTTGGCGCCGTCTGGCATTCTGGCGCCCAGGCTCAGACGTTCGATTTTGAGTTCATCCCCGAGGCAAATTGCACTTCTGCCCTCGGGACTCAACTTGAGTCCGGTACTTAAGACCGGACTCAAGCTGAGCTCGGGCATTCAGTTTTCGGCCTCATTGCTTGTACTTCAGTGTGACTTGCTGCGACATTGTGTTCGGAATCCAAGATTGCGACTTTGCGACTTTGCCACTTTGTGTCTGCGTTAGTCGAGTCGTGTCGAGTATGCGTGGAGTTGAGTGAGTGTGTGTGTGTGCTCTCCCTCTCCCTCTCTCTCCCAGTCTCGCTGCTCTGCCTCAGTCCCGTCACAGATCTAGTCAACCTAGAAGCCAAAGACCTCGCCAGGCGTGCGAAGACACCAGCTGCAGGTAAGACTTTACGACACGAGCAGTTCAAAAGCAGCAACCAACTTACCCTGCATGAACATCGGGAAGTTGAGGATCAGTCCTATGCGGATGATCTGTCTCTAGATGACGATCTAGAGCTGGACTCTGAAGTGGGCTGTTCTACATCAGCCCTTGAGTCTGACATGAATGACGAAGAGAAGTATAACGCCTTTAGAAAGACTACTTCAGGCAAGGGGTCCAACCGTAGTTCAGGTAAGGGAACCATAGCACACCTCCCCAAGAATGCAAAGATTGCTGAGAAGTCGGAGGATGCTTCCACCAAGCCTTGGGAAGCCCTCCGCATCAGTAAAAAAGAATGGGGGGAAAAAATCAAATTGTGTGTGTGCTTGCATTGTGAAAAGGATAGGCACGTTGTGAAGGATTGTTATTGTCTGCAGGGAAACAGGCAAAGGGCATAGAAGAGTCATCAACACTCTCTACAACAAGGGAATCTGAACAATCAACTGGAGGAGAATCCAAGGAGTGTACTCTGATCAACAGCCTGCTCTTGAAACCCGGACCGATGCTGAATCCAAGTACTTTACATTGAGCCTTGGGAGGAAACTTCTTTTCTCCTAACGGGATTCGTAAGGCGGGTCTGGGAATGAAGAAAATTGAATTGCAGAACCTCTGTCAGACCCAAGTAGGCAACCAAGCGGTTGTCACCTCAACACATGTTGTCAAAGATGTGCGCGTCACCTTTGACAAAGATCGCACTGTCACACATGAGATGATTTCTATGTCGTGGACAAGTGTCCCTTTGATGCAATCATTGGTTTGGGCTGGTTAAAAGCCCATTGTCTAAGGACCACGTGGGCGGATACTCAGTTCGTGGTGCGTAACGCCAAGGGGAACGAGTGTATCGTGTTGTTCGATGAGACGCGCAAGCCCCCAGTGACTCGTTTGAGTGCGAACAAATTTTGC